TTGCCGGAAATGGAAAAAAAAAAAAAAAAAAAAAAAAAAAAAAAAAAAAAAAAGAAAAAAAAAAAAAAGAAAAAAAGAAAACTGAGACTGAGAGGTCAAAGGTCACACAGCCACCAGCAAGGATAAAAGAGCTCCTTTCTGAGTACAACACACCTTAGAATAAACTAAGCCTGACTTGGTAGGATAAAATAACCTCTGCCTTTTCTCCCCTCTTCCTGCTTCCTTCTCCAGGAACTTCTGCCTTGACTTGTAGAAGGTGATGATTTTTCCACCCAATAGTGTCTCTCCAAAGAGAAAAGCTCCCCCACCCCCGAGGCAGCCCCTCACCTGTTTCTGAGTGGCAGCATGTGGTCCTTCCCTTCAGGAGGGCGCTGGGCTTCTCGTGCCGGCAGACTAGGGCCCGGCACCACTCACAGTGTTTGCGGACCTGGCAGCAGCTGCAGAGACAGAGGGAACGCAGTCTGGGCAGGGGCCTGGCAGGAGGGCCCAGCTGGTGCAGCATTTGCCCCAGGGGCCTGCTGGTCAGCCAGGGCTCTAAGCCACCCCTCCCATGGGGGCCTCCAGAGGGTCAGATGCTGAAGGGGGCAAGGGCCTTGTAGGGTGGTGGTCCTTCCGGGAAGATGCTCACCAAAAACAAAAGTGCCTGTTGGCTGACCCAAAGTACCGTTTCTATTTCTGCAGGCTTGCTCCAGCTTGCTTGGCTGTCAGAGGGGACTGGCCCCCACCCAGCTGCTTTCTCCATAAAGACCCTGGGTGGTAACTCCATAAATGCAGTATTGGCCTCAGAATGGCCATCAAGACTGGGACAAAGCAGCCACCTCAGGCTGGCAGGGCTGTGACTGCTTAGCAGGAGGTCATTCATCAGGTATTACCAGTAGCAAAGTGGGGAACCAGGATGGGCTGAATTGACTCATGGAAAGAATGAGAGAAGTCATGGAGTTCATGACTTTGAATCCTTCTCTGAGGATTAAAATTCTCTAGTTTTGGAAAAATCCAACCTCTCTGTAAACCTGCAAAGTACCAGGGTTATGAGGGCTCCTGCCATCCTCCCTCTGAGGGCAGGAATGAACAGTTTTCTGAGTTAGCATGAAAGAAGAACCAGCAACCCAAAAGAAGAGCAGAAAAGAAAGCAGTGAGTAGGACGCTGGTTACCTAGGGCCAGTGACGGCTGTCTCCCTTAAGATATCACGGAGGACTTTGTTTCCACTCATTCTCACCTTAATGTATGCACGATCTATGAATCTGTGCACTGGAGCTGGGAGGGGTTTCCCAGCTGATGTGAGTCAGAAGACAGACGAGGCAACACGCCTGTTGTGGTGCTTTCCTCTCATGCCAGGTGGCATTTCACCATCCCCACCCTAGCCGCTCTCTCTGCACTGCCCGGGAGTGTGAAGCTGGGAAGGATACTGGGGCTCCTGAATCTTTTGTTAGCAAAGCTAAGAAGGGGCCCTGAGACCTTCCTGCCCAACCTGCTTCTGTCACAGGTGAAAAATGAGAGGCCTGAGCAGTCTCCCTGGGCGTGGGTCCCTCCTGAGCTGCAGAGTCCAGGTTGGAACCAGCTCATCCCACACTGGAGGGACCATCAGTGACTGCTTTGTCACAGTCAGCCAGCCACGCAGGCTTGCCCCAGGCACCTTCCAGCCTGGAGTATCCCAGGCAGTGGGATCAGGGCCGTATGGGATGAGCTGGTCCCAACCTGGACGGTGCAGCTTAGGAGAGCCCCACGCCCAGGCCACCAGCAGCCTGGTGGGAGGAGGTCTTACCACCGGCAGGAACAGGCTGGGGAGAGACAGAGGACAGGTGGGACTGGCCACCTTCCTGGGAATGAGAGATACTGTCCAGGCATCTAGATCATTCCGGTCTCCAGAGAATCTGGCAAAATTAGCTTTTAAGTTCTTCTGAGGAGGCCGACCTGGGCCCCTCAGTCTTGTTCCTAAGGCTCTGGGACCCTCCTGGCCACAGAAACAGGACTGTGGCCCATCAGGCTGCTCTTGCTCCCCCAGGAAGGGTCTTGGTGAGTGGCAGAGCCTGGGCTATGCCCTAGCCTGAACCAAAGATTCTTGTCCACTCCCTGCAAACATGCTTTCCCAAGACACCTGGGAGTAGAGCAAATACTGCTTGGGGAGGAAGGAAAGGCTGGCCCAGTTCAGACCTCAGTTCTGAGCACTTAATGCTGGCTTGGTCTGGGAGAGGAATGTGAGCAGGCTGTGGCTACTGCCAACAGGCTGGGGCTCGAAGGGCACCTCATTTGCTGCCAGAACCAGGGGCATGTGCTTCAGATGTCCCAGTAATAACACACCAACAGGACAGTGTCTTCTTTATCTGTCTAAATCATAGGCAACCTAAGAGAGCTTAAGTCTGGCTTCCCGCATTAACATGTAGCTGCTTAGTCCAGCCCCCGCCAAAGAGGCTCATCCATTTACAGTCTCCACCATGAGTGGAGACATGAAATGACCAGTTGCATTTAACTGTTCTGTGAATTCCTTGTGCATATCCAATTAGGTACAAATCTTCTGAGAGCTTGTTCTGTGACTTACACTGCAGATGTTTCCAGGGACTCAATCTGGCATAGTGTCAGCTGCTGGGAACACAGCACTGGATTCCCAGGGTCTCTGACTCTGCAGAGCAGTGCAGTCAGGAGACAGAGGCAAGCAAACGGGGCTAAGACACACCTGAAAAGGGTCTCTCTCAGTCTAGGGCTCGGGAAGGCTTCCTGGAAGATGCAATGCAGAAACTGAGTTTGGGAGGCTGGGGAGGGGCAGAGATGTGGAGAAAGGAGAAGGGCTGTGCAGGCAGATGGTTATCAGCTGGTAATAACACCAATGGTGGCCTTTGACATGGCTTTAGGATTTGCAAAGCGCCTTCTGCAGAGAAGAAGTGCCTGTGCTACTGCTCAAAGGAGGCTGGGCACCGTTTCCAGTTCTCTCTGGAGCACCTGCCCATTCCATTACTATTCTAAATACTCTAAACCTAACAGTGGAGAGAACGCGCCTTTCACTCTACACTGGCTCCCAGTAGCGCACAGAACCACTGCTGGAGACTGGCCTAGGATGCCTGAGGTTTTTACACAGCTTGGCTGCCACGCTGTACCAAGAGCACTCAAAGTTCCTCTTGGCTTTGCTGACATTATGCAGACTTCATGGCAATAAGCTATGCCCAGGTGGCTCTGGTATTTGGACATGCTGCAGGTATCCCTGGGAGGGCAGGTGGGAGGAGACTGGACTTAGGGGCAGCAACTACTCACTGTATTAGCACACAGGTGATGATGAGGACAGCCAAGGCCACGATGGAGACCACCACCAAGGCTGTGATGGCCTGCTTCTTCTGGCTGGCGGCCACCACGGCCAGGAGGTCTGCGTGCTCACAACGTGCACCGACGTACCCAGAATGGCAGCTAGGGAAGAAAGAAAGGTCAGCGTGTTCTCCTGAGTGGTCTTGTTTTCCTAACTCCCCAGGGAGGGGTGGGCTGGAGGGACCCAGAGCCCATGGGAAAAGCCCAAAATCCAAAGTCCAAAGCTCTGCAGCCTTTGCTATTGGAGGCAAAGCTGTCAGCAAAATAACTCCTACTTCCCTGCCATGGCACTGCTTGCTTGGAGAAGGGGGGTAGCCAATCATCGTATCATCTGCACGTGGAAGGTGCTGCTGAAGCACTCATGATCATTGTCACTATGCCAAATCTTGGGGGAATAAAGGCAGCAAATGTGTTTATGACACAAACTTCATTTTGGCAGTTCATAAAAATCCAGGTTATTTTAAAACCAAATGTGTACATTCAGAATTTCTGAGAATGAGAAAAAGAAAACATACTAAGCCAGTTGGAACATGATCATTGTCACTATGCCAAATCTTGGGGGAATAAAGGCAGCAAATGTGTTTATGACACCAACTTCATTTTGGCAGTTCATAAAAATCCAGGTTATTTTAAAACCAAATGTGTACATTCAGAATTTCTGAGAATGAGAAAAAGAAAACATGCTAAGCCAGTTGGAGACATAGGCTGTGATTTGCTTTTTTATCTTCTGTTAGTTCTGCAAGTATTCCCTGGGTGGCCCAGCACTCGGGAACATCCTGAAGTAGATGGGCATGAGGGCCCAGCACCACTGCCTGGTCACGGTGGGACTGGAGAAGTCACTGATCTCCTGTGACCCTGATGTCTGCACGTCCAACACTAATGGGTCTCCCTCCACCACAGGATTAGCAAAGGCACAAGAGAGGTCACATCTGACTGTGTGTGTAGCCTGTAAAGTGCCATCTCGACACCAGGTGGTATTATTACTGGCATTGCTACTACTCAGGGATTCTTCGGCTTCAATCATTTCAATAACAGCCTCCTGCTATGCACAAGTGGATCTCACTGAATGGTCCTTCAGCAGTGTCGTTACCATAAGGAAGTGATGGTTATTTTCTTTCACAGGCATTTTCCCCCTCGAGCATGATTTTTCTCAATAGAAGAAACTTAGCTTACACACTGGTCCTTTTGTATGGGGTGACATTCTTAATTGTCAATGAAAATGTTTGATCACCACCTCTTTCTTGGGTGGGGTAGTTTCCTTCTCAAAGGGGACTTCCTTGAGGGGCAGCCCCACATCACATGCTGGATTTAAAATTCTGTTTTGTTTTTTTCCCCTAGACATGACAATAATAGATAAACTTTTTTTTTAAGAGTTTCCTTTTTGATTAATTAGCTAGACTATAACCTTCACTTTTAGATTAAAAAGGCCTTTGAAGTGTAAGGAAACTAGAAGGGGATTAAGGGTACCGGTGTGCCTGCTCTTGTGCCAGGGTTGTTCCAGGGGTGTTACGTTTGTGATTCCCCTAAATCTATGCTCCTGGGCTGCCAGACCCAGGATGCCAGAAGGTACTTGGAGCCACAGCATAAACTCAGTATATTTTCTTGGAGCATAGGTTTTGCTCAGTGTTAACAAAAATTTGAGCATTTTAATGTTAAAGGAATAGATATTGTATGGGTTTAAGTTTTATGGCAGAAAGAGATGCTGAAAAAATTGCTGCTCAAGGGTACAGCCTGGGCTACCAGGGAGTGCAAGCCTTCTGTCTTTAATGCTACTTAATGGAAAAGTCTTTCACTGACTCTCTTGATCACAAGGCCCAACCATTATGTACCTTATTTAAAGGTATTTTTTAGTTTGAATTCCGGTACTTGTTCTTCTATTAATGGTTATTATATGTTTAACATATGGTTTCTCATTTAATCCTTGCATAGACAAGTCAAGGCACTCGCCTGTGCCCACCCTGCTAGGGACTATACACGAATCCGTACCCAAGTCCACTGACCCAAGTCTGGGCCCTGTCTTGTTCACCAGCCTGCTCCTCCTGCATGCTAAATGGGGTCACAGATGAAGCTCTTTACCAAATCTGGCTTTTGGTTCAGCCTCTCATCTTGAAAGGGTAAAAGAGATTTGACGGTTTTAGTCCAGCAAGGTGCAAAGGGTACATACACGGTCTTTGGTAAGTAGGGAAACTGAGGAAGGCCAACTAGGATGGAAAATGCCATGCAGGGTTCTCTACAGACCCTGGGAGAAGAGAATGGGCCTTGGATGGAAGAGGAACAAAGTGGAAAGTGGGGGGATCTCTAGTAAGAAGACTTCTTGGGAAAGGATCCAGAACACAGAACTCTGAATAAGAATACTGACTCTCACGGCTAGGGGGCTATGGGACAGGGGAAGGTTTTGTTTTATGTTTTTGTTTGGTTTGATTTTTAAGAACAAAATTACATGAAGACAAAAGATGAAAAACAGCTCACCCTGTAGGTTCTGGCCCTTTTTCATGAGGGGGAGCTGAATGTGGACTAGACTCCAGGCTAAGAGGTGATATGCAACAGGCTCAGGCGTACATAAATCTAAGTTGTCAGTGTCTAAAGAAAACTCTGCAAGGGGTCCCTCCTTCAGCCCATCCTCACATTTTTACCCTGTACCCAGCTGCCTCCCCTACCTTCCAGAGGGGCCACCTGAGTTGTGATATTTGATACCCCCTCCCTGCAGGACCCTAATCGACCCCTTCTACTTTATTTCCCACCACTTAGGTTCCAGCCAATCCAAGTCGTCACTCCCTGCCCCCCCATACCAATGTTAAATAGTTACACTGCACCTAGCAGAGTGCCTGGCACATGGGCATGCAGGACACACCTGCAGAATGAATGAATGACTACCACCTACTTGCCCATCTCACCTCCTGCCATCTTCTCCTGGAATATCACTCCTTGCTCTCCTCCTCAGACTCCATTTCAAAGACCACATTCTCCAAAAGATGTGATTTACACACTCATTCATTCACCCACTCATCCATTTTTCTATCTCCTTCAATAGATTCCCTAGCCTCTTTTCCTTCTTTGAACACTCAGGACTACGCCCACCTCTCTGACAGTTCTTCTCCCATCAGCCTCACTTTAGGTCAGCCTCCTGCTCCTGTGAGGCAGGGCCTAGCTCTACAAAAACTCTGGTGAACCACTGAACAGAATGAGGCTGGGGAGCCTGGGCTTTGGGGTGGATTGTTAGATTTCTAATCAAGAGTTGCAGCCAAGCCAATTGGACGTCTCTGTAGAAAGGTGTTAGTACAGCTTCTTCCTGGGGAAGGGTAGTGTAATGAGGATTTGCAGAGATCTTTTGTGGTAGGCCTAGGGCATAGCAGGGCGAGCATCCCTCAACAATTTCACACAGCTTGAAATGTTCCTACTGTAACCGGAGAAGGATTCTAACACCTCACCCATCGCTTGGTTTTGAAAACCCTATGAATGAACAAATCAATACTAGGAGATCCAAGAAATTCTATTTAAATAAAACAATGTACTAATAATTATTAGCCAAGTACTAATAATTACAACATATAACATACACTGTAGGCACTATGCTAAAGTCCTACATGAATTAAATCTTTTAATACCAACAATCAGAACTGACATGTGAGGTTGGGTCTATTATTTACCTTGTTTTACAGATGAGAAAACAGAAGTTTCTAGAGGTTTAAGAAACCAATAATCTCAACCATTAAGGCTACCTTTCTGGGTTAATGCAAATTGGTTTGGAAGATACCCTGGGCTAGTGATTCAGTAATAAACACAACCTGATCAGACAAAAGAAAGACAGGCTACTGATTGTCACATGGAGAGGTTCCCCTGCTGTCAGTGTAGCAAGGTGCACAGATGCCCCCAAACATTGTCATCTTAACTCACCAAGGAAGATAACTGATATGGATTGTGTCCTCCAAGTTTTATGTATCAGTAGCTTGATCCCCACTGCGACTGTTAAAAGGGTGGGAAATACTACTATGGTAGTTGAAGGTGCGACCTTGACGAGGTGATTGGATTCTGAGGACCATGCCTAGTGAATGAATTAATTATGGTGGTCAGGGGCATGGTTCTGAGGGCTTTAAAAAGAGAACACTTGAGTCTCTCTCTCTCTGCTCTGCCATTTTCTGCCCTGTGAGACCCCTGCATTACTGTAAAGCCACCACCAAAGACCACCCTCACCAGATGTGTTCCCTCGTGTTCCCTAGGCTTTGGACTTCCCAGCCTCAGAAGCTGTAAGCAATAAATTTCATTTTCTTATAAATCACCCAGTTCCAGGTATTCTGTTATAAGCAACAGAAATGGACTAATACAATAACCCTCTGAGCTGGGTCACACTTTGCTGACTTCCCATGTTTTTCCTACCAGAGGAACATTTGCCATTTGTATGCTGGGCCCTGCACAACCAGCTCTGCCTCAAAACGGCCCCTGGCAGAGTTCCCAGCCATTTAGGAAAGTCTCCATGCCAACAAGAATGCCTGTTATCCTAGTGTCACAGCTGCAAATACTCAAATCCCAGTTCCACTGAGCTTCTGAATGAAAGCTTCCCCAGTGTGGGGAGGTATGGGAGGCACCTGGGTTTCTGCCTAACAGATGGGACTCCAGGTTATGGCTCAGGTGAGCATCTTAGCCTCAAGCAGCCCAATGGGCCTCAACTGCAGCTGGGAGGCAGAAGAGCCTGAAACCCAGATGCTTGAGCTTCCCCGAGGACCTCCCAGATCAAAATCGCTCTGCAGGTGGGGCCTGGGTATTTTAAAGAAAGGACCAAAGGTAATTCTGATGAAGCCCAGATTGAGAGCTGCCATGAAGGTTTTAACAGTGAAACCAATGGTTGTCTACTAGGGCCCATTGGGATTGCCTAGGGAGCGTCCAAAAATCCTGATGTCCAGGCCACACCCTAGATCAACTGAATCAGAATCTCTGGGAGTAAATCCTGGGTATCGGTATTTTTAAAGCTTCCAGATGATTCCTCTGGGCAGCCAAAGATGAGATTCACAATCTAGACTTTCTGGCCTTGGGGTGGGGTAAGATCCTTTTTCTTCTCAATCGTTTGTAATAATGGGGATGCTTCTCAGTTGTTCTTTATTGGGGGA